ATCTCACTAAACATTTCAGTCTTATCCTGTAGCTCAAAGTACACAAAAGATTCAACTGAGGTCCTCATGCCTTGAGACAAACTCAGGAATTTCAGCCCCACAGAAAGAGTGCATTAAGGACAGAGCCAAAGCCCCTTCAATGCCCATCTTTTTCCAGTGATATAAAATGAGTTAACTGCTATAATTTTCTCTGACTATTCCTGAATTTTTCTGTCCTTTACCTGTAGTTACAATGCATTAGAATACTATCTTTGTATAAAACCTCAGTGATTAGGGGGCTGGTATGGAAGTGAAAAGGCTATCACTAGGGCAGAGTTTATCAAAAAAATAAGGCCTCTATTAAAATTGCAGTTTTAGAAAATATCAGAACAAGAAAACTTTGGATATCATCTGATCCAACACTGCTCCCATCATAAAGAAATCTGAGGCCCAGAATGAGGAGGTAGTTCTCCTAGTTTACAGAGCAGGAGCCCAGATCGTGACTAGCCTTCAGCTGTGCCTGCTGATTCCAAGAAATGGCCCTTCTAGAAGGCTGGAGAGAAGCCTCTAGCACACCAAAAATAATGAGCAAAAGCAATGAACTGTGGTAAGATTTCAACTTAAAAACAATCCCCTCTGTCTATAAAATCACTAGAGAGTACAGAAAGGCATGAAAAAGTCAAACTAAAATCAAAAACAGTGCTGTTTCCTTGTACTAATGGACACTTTTTCACCCATCATCTTTTTTTGCTAACAAAAAAAAAAAAGTAAAATATAATACACATACTGTGACATTCACCCATTTAAAGTGTACAACTCACGCTTCTTGAGTATATTACAGAGTTGCACAGCCATTGCCACCATCACAAAATTTCATTTTATAAATTTCATATATTTTCATCACCAAAAAAGAAATGCCCTATTCTTTAGCAATCATACAACCCTAGTTCTCCCATCCTTGGGCAACCCTGATCTACTTTCTGTATATTTTGAACCTTTAGACCATTCTCAATACCTCATATTAATAGAATCACACAACATGAAGCCTTTGCAGACTTTCTTTCTCTTAGCCTGAAGTCTCCGAGGTTCATCCACGTTACAGCATGTATCGTTTCTCCCTTTATCTCCACTGTGGTCACCTCAGCTAAGCTCTCTTGTCCTCGTGCTGCACACAGGTGGACACAGGTGGCTGTGCACAGGCAGAGGACAGGTGAGCAGTAATTGTGATAACGATTTCTGTTATACTTACTTTCATTCTGTAAAGCTGCCTCAGCCTTTTCAACAGTTACCAACAGATTTTCAGAAAGGTCTTTTCTTTTGCTCACTATTGGAAAACCATTCCAGACATACATCATTTCCTAATGAGGAAGAAATTTGCAATTATGTGAGGTTATTCAGTGTCCTTCAAGATGACAAACTACATATGTGAGTTTTCCCTCAGTTGCTAGGGACCTCAAGAAAACATTTATAGAGATCACATTCATTAGTTTTCCTCACTAAGAGTTTAGTGATATACTTTCCCCTTCTCTCACGGTATTGTATTTATTGTATTTCTTTTGTAAACTGTGACATAATTTGATATATAAAGTATAATATATTTTTACTGAAAATTTACTTGTTCATTTACAAATATGTACTATGTACTGTATTCAATCCTTTTGATGATAACAGCATACAGATAAAGAAATGGATATTAAATACTTTAACTGATACTATTAACAATTTATGTATAATTTTGTTGTCACTTTTAAGTAAAAGAAACATTTCAAAATATCAGGCTGTTGTTTACATAAAATGTTTCTAAGAACATCACTGCAAATGAACATAGGAAATATTTTACTAAGCTCAAATTCCCTTATACCATTAAAAATATGTGACAGTCCACTAATGCAATCTAATATGCAAATAAAAAAATGCATTCATTTAAAGGCCATATGGCTATATGACAGCCCCTAAAAATGTAAGCTAATGATTTCTCATTGCAAATCACATTTAATGGGCTAGCAGATGAGAATTTTTTTTGGACCAAAAGCAAAAGTGCTCTTGCTTGAAAATATTTTTCTAATCTTCATATTTTGAAGGGTATGAAATAAGCTGGATAATTAGTATCTTCTTGTAAATAAATGAATTTTAAAATATGTTAAAGATACTCTTTGAAAAGTCTCTCCCAGGGAAGCAGTGGAAATAAGGATACATTTTAGAGGGGCAAGGTCACCTTTACTTTATGTTGCTCAAAACTAAGATCACATCACCATCCCTTTTATGTTACATGTAAGAGCTAATAGCAAGAAGCTCAATGCAATAATTAATGAAACTTTTCTTAACCTAATAATGATTTTTTAAATTTTGTTTTTATTCATGGATTATTTCATCACTAGACATTCATATCTGAGATTTTATGAGAAGATTTTGGTAAAATTCTTAGTTACCTCAAACCAATTCCAAACCAGGAGAAAGAAGCACAGTGAACTAATCTTCCTCCAGAACTTTAATAATAAAGGCAGGATACAGCTATATACACATGCACATCTAAGTTCTAGAGCCGAAAACAGGTTACGATGCTCTGGAATTTTTTCAGGAAAGTTCTATGACTTAGAAAGAAAATCTTTCCTACTGTCAATCACTTGATAGAAATAAGTCAACACTGGAACTCAAGCTGAACTTGGTGAAAAAGCAGCAAACTCTCACCTTATCTGGGAAGGCAGGGGGGAGGATGTGAAGGGTTGGCTGGTTTTGTGATTTTGCAAGAATTGTTGCTTATTTTTTTAATCTGTGCTCAGACATGATTACAGAGTGGTCACATTTTTGTCTTGTTCCATCACAGATACAGAAGAATCTGATGCTGTTCTCTGGGGCTATTTTTCTGAAGTATGAAATACCTGGACATATGCACAAGGTACAGGCTAGCTTCTACCTGGCACCTGTCAGGGTGGTAGTTTTCTTTCTCATAGGATATATAACAAGCTCCTCTAAGTCAATGATAAATCAATAAACAACCCAACAAAAATTAGAGAAGATAAAAACAATATGTAAAAGAATAAATAAAAATGAATAAACACATGAAAGGATATTCAATAATGCTAATAGAGAAATACAAATTAAACAGTGACAAATTATTGGTAGAAACTTAAGTTGGGATAGCCCTCCTTAAGAGGGCAATTGAAAATGCCTTCAACCAGGAATTCCACTTCTAGAATTCCATGCCCATCTACAAAAAGAGGAATATAAAGGAATGTTCAATGTATCAAGTTTGCAATAATGAAAAACTGGAAACAACTGTAATATGAAAATAATTAAGTAAACTCTGGAATACAAAACAAAACAGAAAAATCAGGAAACCCCAAAAGAGGACTACAGATGTGACCTGGCACTAAAGGATGTTCCTGTATTGGCTACATGTGCCAGATGAGAACCCCCAAGAGTCAAGTTAAGTTGATAAATCAGTGCTTCCTAAAGAAGTCTTTATTAAGAAAATTTTCTGTTGCAATCATGCTTTTCAACTGGCAAAACCAAAAATGTGGGCTCTCTCTAGCACTGTGCTCAGCCCCTGGGCATAGGGACATAGCCAGTCCAAACCAAGAGTGTGCTGAGAGTAAAGCAGCAGGTTTCAAAGAATCAGTACCATATGAAGGAATCTGAGTTATTTCGTTAGTGAATTTGTACTGATTACATGTTCAAATGACAAACTGTACATACACTGGGTTAAACAAGACAGAATCTAAAAATGCTTAAAATACACTTATGCTTCCATTTTACTTTTCAATAGCCTACCCTTTGATTTTTAAAGTGGATCCTAGAAAATATTAAATT